ACCTAAATACATACAACAAGTTGCAAAAGCTGCAGTACAAGAGCTGAACATTAATACTGCTGGCTGCAACTTTGGTCTGCTTTGATTGCGACGAGCAACACCTCTCTTGATATGACCAAAGTACGCAGCTTTCCTACTTTTTATGGGTTTTCGAAGCTTTTCTCCAACGAACAAGAACTCGAACAAAAGATAATGATGGAACACGATCAAACAGATTCCAACTCGTGTGAAAGGCCAATTGGTATATGAAACCAATCACCCACTCGTGAATAAGGCCAATCGCTATTGGGTAGAAGCTCGCCACAACTAGACGCGTTCTCTAGTTGATAAGAGACACGCGAAACTCCTGGAGCACTCTCAACAGAAGCTTGCACAAAGAACTAGTTCGTATGAACTTGTAACTTGAAAGTTGATTGATAATTGAATATTGGGTACATAATTCGTAGGTCTTACACCCTCTATTTATAGAGGTCTCAAATACATAAAACTAACCTAAAAGGAATAGGAAAATTAATCCCAAAGAAACATATAAATCAAAATAATTAAAACTTTAAGATACACGCTGCTGCCATCTTTCCGTTTCCACCGCGGAAATCTACTTTGCTTCGCACCTTGACTCCACACTGATCCATATTCCTTGTCCTTAGTGGAATTGTAACTCCGTCCCACCAAGTGAAGCAGCTGCGAAATTCATTGTCTGAGGGAGATTGCTTTTGATTAATGGACCAAACTACCTTAATTAATGGACCAAATCAATTTCTCTCCATGCCTCATTCCCACGTGGCTTATTAACCTTCCACAAAGTAGCTTTTAGCTTTTCTCATGTATAATAACCAGCACCAAATAAATTGTGAACACAATTTATCCATCAAGAATGCTCCTAATTGATACTTATAACGCCGAATATGAATCTTCATTTTTGGACCACGGAAATTAAATATCGTGCTAGTCGATATTGCATCATTCCCTCTCTCTTGAAGAAGATTCGACCTCGAATCTTTATAGAACTTTGATCTCCAATTAGCACCACTCTTCTTGGCTTTCGAACCAAATTGTCTTGGTAGCGATAATGGTATCATTCCCCCCTTCTTAAAGACAATTCGTCCACGAATTGTAGAGACTCCATTTTGATGAACAACTTCCACATAGCTCTGCAATTCTCGCCGCTTTTTCAGTTGTGCTCCCTCTTCGAAAATTGCATCGCCAACCACGAAATCAATATGATCATATTCTCGAACAATTGATGAATCCCCCAGAATCATGCATTCATCTCCTCCATTGATTTCTTGTTTCGCCATGTGTTGCTCACAATCCGGCGCACCCAAAGCTGGCTTTTCAACAAGAACATCTTCTATCGCCTCCTCATCATCAAAATCTTCATACTCTTCACAATAAGTATCGAAAAGTGGACCTTCCATAGGCGATATTTCAATATACTCCTCCTTGTCTTGATCTTGCTCTAACGAATTAATTCCCAATAAAGCTTCCAATCGAGCAAGTTTGGTGTCCCATTGTTCTTCCAATCGTGCTTGCCCATGAAGAATAACTTCGATCGTCGTGAGTGCTTGCTTCATCGTGTCCACCAATCTTTGACCTTGCTCCATTATTGATTTTCAAAGGCTAACAAGAACAACACAAACAAAAAACCAAAACTACAAGAATTTTTTTTTTTTCTTTCTTTCTTAGCTTTGTGGCTTTAAACAATTTTTTCGACTTTTTTTTTACTTTATCTTCACGTGAACAGTAACAAAGGAAAAATAAAAAAACCAAAACAAACAGTAAACACGACTCTTTTTTATTTTAATTTTTTATTCTACCTACTTACTCCACACGTAACAGAAAGGACAAAAGGAAGTTTTTTTTTTGTTTACTCACGTTACTACTTAAAGAAGAAAACAAAACAAATAATAATAAACAAAACCTAAAGTTCTGATCTACTTACGTGAAATAAATAAATCTAGCAAATAATTCTCTTTTTTTTTTCAATCTGACCTTTTTTCCCGCTGCGTTTGAACCAGGAATTTTCAAAATCGCCGCTGAGTTTGAACCGGGCTCCTGATACCACTTGATATGACCAAAGTACGCAGCTTTCCTACTTTTTATGGGTTTTCGAAGCTTTTCTCCAACGAACAAGAACTCGAACAAAAGATAATGATGGAACACGATCAAACAGATTCCAACTCGTGTGAAAGGCCAATTGGTATATGAAACCAATCAAACAATCACCCACTCGTGAATAAGGCCAATCGCTATTGGGTAGAAGCTCGCCACAACTAGACGCGTTCTCTAGTTGATAAGAGACACGCGAAACTCCTGGAGCACTCTCAACAGAAGCTTGCACAAAGAACTAGTTCGTATGAACTTGTAACTTGAAAGTTGATTGATAATTGAATATTGGGTACATAATTCGTAGGTCTTACACCCTCTATTTATAGAGGTCTCAAATACATAAAACTAACCTAAAAGGAATAGGAAAATTAATCCCAAAGAAACATATAAATCAAAATAATTAAAACTTTAAGATACACGCTGCTGCCATCTTTCCGTTTCCACCGCGGAAATCTACTTTGCTTCGCACCTTGACTCCACACTGATCCATATTCCTTGTCCTTAGTGGAATTGTAACTCCGTCCCACCAAGTGAAGCAGCTGCGAAATTCATTGTCTGAGGGAGATTGCTTTTGATTAATGGACCAAACTACCTTAATTAATGGACCAAATCAATTTCTCTCCATGCCTCATTCCCACGTGGCTTATTAACCTTCCACAAAGTAGCTTTTAGCTTTTCTCATGAATAATAACCAGCACCAAATAAATTGTGAACACAATTTATCCATCAAGAATGCTCCTAATTGATACTTATAACGCCGAATATGAATCTTCATTTTTGGACCACGGGAATTAAATATCGTGCTAGTCGATATTGCATAGCAACAACAATTCCGAACAGCGTCGCCGAAATTGAAGATCGGAACTGCGACCTGTGGGTACTCAACGACGATTACGCGGCAGGCGGAGGGTGTGCCTGGATGGTTTCGAGGTCGAGATCGTTGTGCAGCTTCAGGGGAGGCGACGGAGTTGGGTTTTTCGCGGGGTCGGAGTGAGAAGCTCTGTTTCCGGAGAAAAAAGCTATGTCTCCGCGCTCGGAGCTCCGGGTTCAACTGGCTGGTATTCGGCCGTCGTCTGAATCAAAGCTGTCTGCGGAGGCAACAGAGTACGAGACCACGAGATCGGAGGACAGGATGGCGGGAGGAGATGGAAACGGCATGCTGAACAATTTCTTGTGACAGCCGGCAATGATAAGCCTGGAGCAGGCGCCACCGAGTCTATCGACGAACCGCCAAGCAGGCAGGGCAGACGGACAGTCTCTTGTGACTGCCGGTGAATGGTTTAGGGTTTGTTTTTTTATTAAACAGAAATAAATAAAAGAAAATAATTAAAACTGAAATTAAGAGTAAATGAGGGGGTTGGGTCATTTTTCTACCCTTTTAACTAGAGGTGGCAAATGGATTGATCCATGGATTAATGGATTGGATTGGTGGATCCATGAATCAAATGGATTGGATCCAATGGATTGGTGGATTCATGGATTGGATCAAGTGGATTGGTGGATTATCCATGAATCCAAATGACATCCTCAACCAAGGACCAATATGTAAAATGTAAAAAGTTTAGGTACTAAATTGTCATAATGAAAAATTTTAGGTAGCAAAACGTAATTTCCAACGATATTTTTCGTATAAAACATTAAATTTTGGGTACCAAAATGTAAAATATAAAAAGTATAGGTACCAAACCGTAATTTATCATTTGGATCCATGGATCAATCCATGAATCCACCAATCCAATTGGATTTGGATCAAATGGATTGGATTTAAATGGATTGGATTAGGTGTATATTTTTAATGGGTTGGTGGATTGGATAGAGAATTGCCACCTCTACTTTTAACAGTCACTTAACGGATAATTAGACGGAAGGGTAAACTCGTTACGTTTTCATATTAGAAGGCTATGTTTGTGCAAAAATTTAGTAAAAGGGTACGTTTGTTAATTTACGATAGTAGAGGGGTAAAAAATTCTATTAACCCAAATATATAATGGTAAACCCAACTTGAGTTGTATCCGAATAGGCTGTAAAAGAAACTACGGAACTTATTTGTCAAGAAAACCAAAATAGAGGATCATTTACCCAAAGCAGCCACCCCCAATTCAGATGGCCGATGGGGCACTGTCATTAGGGATGGCAACAAAACCCGAACCCACGGGTACCCAGCCGACCCAACCTGGTCAACGCGGGTAAAATCCATGTTGACGTTTTTGGGTCGAGTTTGGGTTTAAACCCGTTCACTATTAATCGGGTTGGGTTTGGGTTTAGGTAAACCGACCCATGGGTATCCGCCCGCACTCATATAATTCATTTTCTCGGTATATTTAAGATTCTAAACAACTAATCTTATTTATGTTTGGGAAGACATGTCTAATTTTTCTTTTTAATTGTGTAGAATGAAGTTTATGTTATCGAGTGGAGAGTGAAGAAACTTAATTAAAAGGAAGAAATTTTCAATTAATCATGTTATTTATGGATAATTTGTGATTTGCGTCAATTTTCTTGAGTTTTCTAGATTGGTGTTGAACAATTTGTATAGTTAATTTGTGATTTGCTTGAATTTGCTAGAATGGTGTTTTATATATGGATAATTTGTATTGAGAGATTGATATTTGACTTTAATTTTGATAGGTACTTGTTATTGTAAATTTTTTACGACAAAAACCCGTGGGTATCCATGAACTCGCGGATATCCAGCGGGTTGGATTGGGTTTGAAATTTTCAAAAATTTTCAAACCCAGTGGAATTTACCCTCAGGTTTTTTTCACTGATAAATCCATAGATTTGGGTTTGGGTTTGGCAAAACCCGACCCCAACTCGACCCATTGCCATCCTTAATTGTCATGAAGATTCGGAAAATCGAACGGTAGCGATGAAGTTCACGGAGCAGGTGTACCGGAATCTGCAGTCTATCGACCACAGACAATCACTACCCCATTTTAATTTCTTACCCCCGAGAAAACTTCTCCTTCCTCCTTTTCATCTTCGCTTCTTCCTCTCACTCCCTCGTCTTCCTCCTCATCCGCCGCCGCCATCTCCGGCAACGGAACCCTTCTCCTTTTCGTTTCCCCCACCTCCCTCTCCTTTCTCTATCAAATCGGAAATAATAGTTACAATTGGTAGAGGAGGAATTTAAGTGCCGGAAATCTGAAGGGCGTCGGCGTCGAAGACCAAAAAAAGGCCTTCGGTTGAATCGGTGACCGGAGTGCCCTTTTTTTGGCGGGGTCGGTTGAGGAAGGAGACAAACAACGAAAACCCTAATTAATTAAAAAAGATAATTTCCCCAATTTGATTCCGATTTCCATTTCTATTCAATCATGCAGTTGTTGAGGTCTCTCTCTCTCTCTCTCTCTACGCATCTCTGCCCCCGAATCTTCACAATCCGAATTCGGATAAGAGCTTGATATGTCTCTGTTTTCAGGTTTGTTGAGAGTCTCCTTCCTGGACTTGGTGCTTTGCAAGCTAAGATCTCCGACGTGGCGCCTGTAAATGCAGTTTTGTAGATTGCTTCCCCCTTGGATCTGCCATCTCTTTGCATGCATGGGGTGAGCTTTTCTGAATTATCCTTTTTGTTGCTTCTGAATAAGATGAGATGAGATGGATGATTCACAGTTTAAGGAGCTGTGAAACTGTGGGGAAAGTTCCCGTCTTTACTTTCAACTGTTTTTGTTTGGTATAAAGCTAGTAAAGAGGGAGTTTGGGATCCAGATTTCCAGCTGGAGACCAGTTTTTAGGCATACCCCAGAGGCTTTAGATCCTTTAGTGCTCATAAAATGTGGCTCTTTACCTGACTCTTTTGCGTCAGCAAATAGGTAATGAATGTTCTATCAAGCTTGCCTGCCTGCCTCGGTTTGGTTTGGTATCTTTTGTTTAATGCGCTTTGCTTCGTCTGTAAGTAAAAGCTTCACTTGTGGGGAACAGAAGACAAACAAGGATTGGCTTTTCTCGTTGCCCCTTCATTTCCTTGAAAGAATGGGCTACTGGGATATTCTACTCTCCTATGAGTTTGCTTGCGGGCAGAGGCCTTTTTCATGTAGGAAGTAATGTTCTCTGCATGTTGTTTCCTGAACCAGACCGAGAGGTGTGTTTGGAGGAAACATTGCAGTTCTTTTATATTGCTTTCTGGAGCATATTTCCGTGTTGTGGCACACATGGGAATGGAAGGATTTAGGAGTAAATGGAATGGTATTTTCAGTGTGAGATGCTTTCAGCTTTCTTTGTGTTCTTCTCCTTTTCATTAATGTTTATTGCTAGAGTCAACCTGCCACCATACATGTGAGATAGAAATGATTGCTGGTAGCATCCCCCAGAAACTTCAGGGAACTCACCCTAACAGCTACTTGACTTTTTATTTTATTCCTGGTCTCTGATTTTGTTTGCATTGAATTGATGATAAATTTTGTGTAATGGCATAGATGTATGCTTGCTTAGTTTCCCATTTTCCGTGTATCACTACATATGGGAAAATTGTATAGGTTTTAGGCTTGTGGAAGCTATTGTATTTCGCGTATCCGTTTGTAACGGTTGCATACCTTTAAGGCTTCAAAGTGTATATCGAGAATTCTCGTAGGCTGAAGGATAACTCACGTGTCCTTTCGGTGATACTTTTGTGACACTATTAGAGTACATTGCATTTCACATATCCTTTTGTAACGGTTGCATACCTTTAAGGCTTCAAATTGTATGTGGAGAATTCTCGTGGGCTGAAGGATAACTCCCGTGTCCTGCCGGCGATACATTTGTCACAGTATTAGTATCTTTTCCATCCGTATAATGTATATTATCATCATTTAGCTGTGTAATGAGAAGTACTTGGTTGTCAATTACTCGGTTTTAATCATATTTGTGGTAAAACCTGATTTGTAACAGAGCAGAGGTTGTCTTGGTTGCTGTGCTAAACCCACTACCGTTGTTTCTGTCAATGAGCATTCAAAGGGATTAAGACCTCTTGACCGGACATCTAAGAAACATAGCATAACCGACGATTTCTGGAGCACTAGTGCAGCAGAAATAGACAACAGTGCTCTACAATCACAGAGAAGCATGTCATCCATCAGCACACTAAACCAGCCCCTTGATCCCTGCAGTAATGCTGGCAGCTCAAGCAACCCTCCTGAATTTGTAAATCATGGCAAGTTCTACAAATTATCACAAGTCCTGGTCAATTTATTGAAACTGCAGATACTGCACAATTACCTTCTCTTAATGGTCTTTTCTATGCCTTTGGTTTGGCCATTTTCTATTGTATCCTTTGTGAGGAGTTGGTTGATAGTCTACGTTGACATGTTATTTCTTTTGTTTTGTTCAACTTCGCCCTTTTCCAAGGTGGTTTGAACTTGCTTTTAAATTTATCCTTGGAAGGTTAGTGCATAGTGAAGTACACTGAAAAAGGATTCTGTTTGCTGGTTGTAGGTCTTCTTCTATGGAACCAGACAAGGCAGCAATGGCTTGCAAATAAGTTAACTCAGAGCAAAACACAATCACAAGTTCGTGAACCCACGATAAGGTGACTTCTTGTTTCTCTTTCTGAAAATGGTGACTCTAGAGCATTGTGATTCCCTCTAACCCTAATTTAAAGTGAAACCATTCTCTGCTGGTATATGTGCATGATCGTAAAAAAAGTTTCACCAGTAAATTGTCTCCTGTATGTGGCAGCTGGAATTCTTCTTATGAGAGCTTGCTTGGGAGTAATAAGCCATTCACCCGTCCTGTTCCTCTGGCTGTAAGTTTTAAAATGGTGGCCATTCGTTAAAAGCAAGTTCAGCAGGCCAATGAGATATTTTACACTCATATTTTGCTCTTTGTGTGTTGGAAAATGGCAGGAAATGGTGGATTTTCTAGTGGACGTTTGGGAACAAGAAGGGTTGTACGATTGAATCAATTGGGAAGGAGCCTTATTTAGAAGTTCTTTCTCTCTTTGGTGGTAAAATCCAGGGTTGTAGCAAATTGTGATTAACCCATAATTTATGTGTTTCCTCATCCGGGGAGGAAGAAAAGAAACACATCTTCCCTCAGAACCACTTTGTGAGTTGTCTTTGATTTAGATTGTCGACCGGTGCCTCCGCGGGCTCGGTGATTTACTGTGATTCTATTGTTATCATCAGCCTCTATCAAATCAGTACTTGTGCAGATTCAGTTCATTAACTGATTGATTTCTGAGGCGTTCTGTTGCTGTTGAAAGCCTACCTTTTTTTCCTACTACAGTTCAAGAGTGGGATATGGGTCAAAGAAAATCACCCCTGGCCTTAAACGCCAAAGGGTAATCGTGATGGAATGATTAATGAAATTCTGAGATGAAGAATCCATGGATTTTGTATAATCGTGGAATTCAAATTCTCATTCTCCAAGAAACCTCTGCATCTTTTCTCGCACAGTCTGCTCTCACCTAATAACAAGTAATGCCTTTGCTTGGTCTTCACTCTTCAGGGTTAGCCGCCTTCTCAAGGATTGATTTGATCGCTTAAACCAGACACCCAAAATACAGAAATGGAGACTTGTGTGTCGATGCAGGACAAGAAATAGGATTTGGATGGTATTGGTAGGGTTTCCAGGGAAGAAGTTTGTCTTCTCCTTCCCCCCTAACCAATAAACAGAAGCATTTATGTGGTGGGTGGTGGACTCGTCTCTACTTTAAGCCGAATGTGTTTCAGTCTCCACCCCATCCCATCCAGTCCCACAATGAAAAAGCAAAGCGACAAACCATGGTATGTGGTTCTGGTCCTGCTCCGTGTATCAGGAAAATTGAGCTAGTATCAAGAATTAGTCCATTACAAGTGATTGTTTATACGGTACAAGGGTATTATGGGCTGGTTGTATTAGTTAAACTACATAGCATCACCATCTACTTAGGTTTGTTCATTTCACCAGTTGCATTGTGTAGGTCCCTAATAAGTGATCCGGTGAGTAGATGAGCACCTCTTATGAAGTGGTAAATCCCTATGGTCGTAACAGAGTCATTGAAATTCATTGTGATACATCATGTCCAATGCAGTCAAAAATCGAGGCAAAATCGGAATCGTAGATTAAAATCGTAAAATTGTAAGATTTTAAGGTTCATATTAAAATGAAGACTTAAAACTCCATAGAGTAATAACAATGCATATTATGTATAACAGTCAACCACCTATAACTTAATTATTTTTCAACATAAGTTTCTTTGTTAAATAAACACAAATAAGTCCATAGATATATTCTTGTACATAATATAAACACACAAATAAGCAATCTGAAACCTCATAGGAATTACTTAATCTAGTTAATAGCTAAGAGTATAAATCACATAAGATCATTAGGATCAACATTAACATCCAGAACAAGCTATGTTTGGAAAGAAAGGTGTTCAAGATTATATGGAGATGCACGAGCTGCTACTCCAGAACAAGTGTCAAGGAGGATTCTTTCTGAGTTTTCTATTTTTGTCCGTAACAATGTAACCTTCCAGCTGAGAGTATTGCGTGTTATTCGTTCATAGTATAGTATTCATATTTTGATGTTTACAGTTAGAGAATAGTATAAATTGTAAACAGCGACAACTTGAGAGGGAGCTTTGCGAGTTGCAGCCCCCGGGCTTAAATGTATTTTTTTTATTACTCATAAAAAAAAAAACATTAGCATCCCTCACACAACATCACCTGACCCTCACCCTCACTCATATCCTCATAGAATCATTAACTATTTGCTTGAGCAACAATATCATTATTCTCAGGATCACTTGAAGTAAGTTCACCAATGAATATACATCCTTGATAAATGTTATCTGGAAAAGGTAACACACTGATTGACGCATTCCCTTCTTGATCAATAAAGGTCGGGGATGGTGGTGCTGAAGGTTTTGGAGATGAACAAAACCTTGCAAGGGAATGGGGGTTGGGCTAATTGGGAGATTGGTGGGGAACAAACTTCTAGCTAATTATGAGGGTGGAGGAAATCATTGATAGAAGGATTTGAGTGTCGGCAATGTGGAAGAGGAAGAGATGAGGAAGAGAACAAACATAATTGGGGATCACCTATCGTGTTAGGGTTATCTTGTTCATGATGTTGGGTTGGCGGAAGTGAACTTGACCCGGTTAAGGGGAAAACCCCGACCTGACCAGTCTGATTTTGCTCGAATTGTCATGAAAACTTGAAATCGTAAAAATCGTATATTTTAAGGATTTTACAGTTTTAAATCGGAATTTTATGAGATTTTAAGATGATTTTGTAGTAAAATCAGGATCGGAACTCTTAAGTAAGCTCGTAAAATCGTAAGATTTTAAAATTAAAATCTAAATTTTGACTACATTGATGATGTCAAGTACAGTCTCCACCCCGTACTTCCCAGTAAAATAACGTGGTCTGCTGCTTTAACTTCTCCCAAACGAGGATTCGTTGCTCTAGCTTATTAGAGGCTCCACAATGTCCAAGAAAACGTGATCACCCCTTTTTTTTGCCATAGGTATCCCACAAGGTGGAACAGAGCAAGATACGAAATATAAATACAAAACCTTTCCAGGTCAAATCACAAAAGATAAATAAGGTTAAATCACCCCTTAACAACCGTGGATTGAACAAAAAAATAATCTGGTGCACGAACATACGGGGTCCTTGGATTTATAACAAGGGAACTTCCCAAATTAACTAAGCCATAGCCATTTATTTTCAAATGGATACTCTGGAGATTCTTTTTATATTTTATATCATAAGGCGTCATTTCCCCACTATTATCTTAATCAAAAGTTAAAACCACCCACTTGAGATATAATTAATTTTAATTGAGTGTTATACAGCCCCCACATGATTAAAACAAAGTTGTTCCAACTCATAGATCTTGGAAGGTGCATGTACGCCTGCTCCATTTGACTCATTAATCTTGTATTTATAATTAACATAACTAATTAATCACATATAATAATGATTAATAGTTAAACCCCCTAAACTTTGCTATCTGCTCCAGTGTACCTTGCACGCATTTAGTATTTTATTCGTGGTTGCATTTATTTATCTATGGTTAAATTACACGTCTGATCACTCAAATTACATAAAATTTTCACGTTTGCCACCCACATTACTTTTCTTTCTTATTCGCCACTAACTTTACGAATCGTTTCACCGTTAGTCACCGGCCGTTAGTCTCCGTCAGATTCCATTAACTCCGTCAGTTTTTTTTTTTATGATATGGCAAACCAGAAAGCTGATTAGACCATTAATTTAGTGACATGTCAATCAAAAAAAATAATTAACCCCATCCCTCACCCCATGGAGACATCTCACTCAATCGCCGTTTACGATCCGGAGAAGATCGAGAGAAGCAAACTAGCTTTTTCGCTCTCTGTCGATTGCCTTCAGTTAGGAAGCTGTTTCGAGCTGAAACCCACCCTAAGAAATTCTTCACTCCTTCCAAATGCCAAAAATCTCCAATTCGCCGCCGACCACCGTCCTGTTCGTCACTTCATTGACTGATTCCTCGATATCCACCTGGTGTCGTCGCCACCGTGGCGTCCCCGCCTCCGCCTCGTAGCTCCCATGTACACCACTGGTCGCCCTCTCCTCATTCCTCTGCTAAATCGACGTTTCTTGAGGTATCATCATCATAACTATAATTAGGTCTCAAAAACATAAATAAATCACTTCAAAATTAAAAAGAATAGCAACTCTTAACATCCTCCATTTCCAATTCTTCCATGGATAATCTAGCAAGCTGCGGAAATTCTAGGGTTTCTTGATCGATGCGCCGTTGTTGGGAAAGGAGGAGGTCAAGTTCGTGACTTTCGCGTAGATCTTTCCGATGATAAATCAAGGAAGTGAAGAACACAAAGTAGAGAGAAAAGGAGAGACTTGCAGTGGAATCCAGAAACCGCTGCCAACCACCCCCTTTCATCCAATCTCACATCGCCGACATATTGACATTGTAGGTGCAGATCTGCGATTCCCACCATCGTTGCACCATGAATCTCTAATTCCACCAGGAGAAGATCTATCACGTCGCCAAATTGTCCATGGCGACGCAATCGAGAAGAATCCACCGCAAAGGAATGGCGACCGTCGGAGAACGAGATGAAAATCAAAACCGGAACAGGGAAAATGAAACTGGAATTGGGTGGCTTGCTTGTTGCTTGCTTGGATAACATGGACGGGCCAAGGAAGAAGAAGGATATGAAGAAAGAAAAGGGGGGAGGGGTGCAGGATGGAAAATATAATGGTTATTTTTATTATTTTTAGTTGCCTCATCATCCATTCTTAATTTTTTAAGTTTTTAAAATTGACATGTCATTAAATTAATGGTCTAGTCACCTTTATTGTTTGCCACATCATCAAAAAAATAACGGAGACTAACGGTCGGTGACTAACATGAAACGTTTCGTAAAGTTAGTGGCGAATAAGAAAGAAAAGTAATTCGGATGGCAAACGTGAAATATTTATGTAATTTGAGTGACCAAATATGTAATTTAACCATTTATCTAGGGCGTTGCTATTCGTCGCCCTAAAATTCTTTATTCGTCGCCCTAAATTAATTAATTTTACTTTAATACCCTTAACAAATAACTGAGCATTTACCAAAAAAAAAAAAAAACAAATAACAGAGCAACCGAAATATGAATACTGCAAAAAGCAGAACACCTTCCCTCATCAGAAGACCGAAGCTTTCTTTCGTTGGCATTATTCAAGAAGATTTTGAACAACACAGAACATATCGAAGTTTAGTTTACAATCACAATGAAAGTGTAGAAAAACAGAGCAAGCCAGCTGAGAACACAGAAGCTAGCTTTATTAGGCGGGCACTTCATTGAACAAGTTATGAACTAAGACACAACAAATTGCCCAAGTTCAACTCTTCTTTCATTACCTTCCTGCCTTCCTCACGGAACAGAACATGCTACTTCCCACTCCATGATTTCATAATCATAGCTACAGTCATCTCTATATCATGCAAGAACTTTGATTTTGCGACATTTACATGAGACAGAGCAACATTTTCAGATGGAGTTAAATATGCTCTGTTTCCGCCCGGTTACGTTGCAGCGGCGACATAGTTTCTGCTGGGGTTGACGTCGAATTGGGAGGAGAAGGCGCAGAACTGGAATTACTCCTCGTCGTCGTTGAGCAGGGTCCGGTCGAGTGTCGTACCGACACTAGAACGACGGTTGTCGTATTGTTGCAAGGGCCGCGGTGGTTTTTGGCCTAGGTGGTGGCGATGGTGCAATCGACGGCGACGGTTCTAGCCTCTGCCACAAATGGAGCCAAGCTTTTTTTATATAGATGAAAGTAAATTTTATTGCCTTTCTAATACACCAGAAGTGTACATGGAGAAAGGGAACAAAAGGGATACAAAAGAGAGAAGGCTAAAAGCCCGGATACATAACAGGTAAAGAAGAAAACAGAGAAGGCAGAGCGAAAACCACTACTGGAGCCAAGCTTGTTAATGAAGAGGAAGTCTGCCGAGAAGATGCGGCGGCTGCACCAAAAGGAATGGGGTTAGAGGGGCAAGAATGTTAATTTTATGCATTTTAGGGCGATAAAATTTGAATTTTAGGGCGACGAATAGCAATTCAGTTTATCTATTTATGTATCCTACAAATACAAGAAGACGAAAAAGGTAAATAGACGATAAATAAAGTGTTAGGGACCATTGTGAATTGTGATCCGTATCCAACTTGGATTATCATAATGCTTAATTGTAACACATATGTAAAGCATATGAATTAGAATATTAGACTATGTTTGTTAGTTAGTTAATATTAACGATATATAGGTACGTGGATAATTAATCCGTGTTTTGATATCAATCAACTCACAAATAACTCTGACCGTAATGGGTGGGTGATTGATGTGGGTGGGTTGTGGATTGATAATCTCCTACCAACATTTATTGGGGTGGGTGGATTGCAGGTCACCTGAATGACGTGCACCATATTTTCACAAGACAACAAATTGTTTCTTGTTTGTACTCTCGAATAGTCATCATATTTCCTAACAACACTAAACACCGACCATCGACTTCTAGAAGGAGAATAAAAAATATTTTGGACTACTATTATTGGTTACTATGTTGGGCAATGTCCATTAGACATTGTGATGCAAATTGTTATAAATTATTAATTGTATCAAAGTTCAAAATGAGTAAACTATCACTACACAATTGGTTGATGGAGTAATGAAAAATCTGATGCAAATAATACATAGATCCATAGGAGACAAGGTGAGAAGTATATAAATTGCTACTATCTTACGAATTTGCGAGTAACTTATTATAAATGTTAATCTACTTGCTTAATGGTTATTTGAAAAATTACTTTTGTGGGTAAAGTCACAACCCAACCGCGCTCATCCACTGCCCACCCAACTCAACTCGAAGAAGAATGTGGGTGGATAATGAATCACAATTATATCAACTCGCTAGTAAGCAGGTGGGTCAATTTTGAGAACGATGATGCACTCACTCTAATAATTTAAAATTTGTTTTCCGACCACTCGCACGGAAGTCTGGGCTGCACTCAGAAGGTTGGAGCTCTTTGGGGGATGTATATCACATTGTCGCGATTGAGACAGACTCTACTACGACGGTGGCCTTCTTTTCGGCCACGGGATCGGTGGACAACCAACATACGAACTCAATTCACTCTTTCCTTTCGGTGGTAGCTGCTCATCATCCTAACTAAGTGATTTTAAAAAATATGTACAAATTTAGACGAAAAAGGAGTTAATAAAACAAAACTATTAGAAATTAATTTGTACTAATTTTTTACTCAGTTTGAACTGACCACTTCCTACCTATAACCTATTGTATAGTCACATTTCTCACCTACTATGTACCTACCTTATAACAATGGGTGAAAACAATGACATCAGTCAACTATAGGGGAGTCAAGTTAAATGGAAGTGAACGTATACCGTAAGGTTAGAAATTTAAGTTTATTTATTAGTGAAGAGTGTGTCGTGAAATCGTCATGTAAGTGAATAAGCAAATGAATGTCAAAACGAAGAGTCGAGAAGTCAATTAAAAGATAAAGAAATATCTTAATAGTTAAGATCTGTATGCATGATCCCTACTTTACGAATGCAAACACGAAAATCCCAATAATTTTGAACAATCAATTAAGAGAATACTATCTCGTCAACTCGAAACTCTCACAACAGAACACTAGCTCGGATTAAAATACCATGCTTGTACAAACAGCTAAATTACACGTTATCTTTCATATTTGCCACTCGAATTACTTTTCTTTCGGATTCGCCACTAACTTTACAAATCGTTTCATCGTTAGTCACCGGCCGTTAGACTCCATTAAATTTGTCCTACGTGGCATTCAACTATAAAGTTTGACCGCTAACTAGATGACGTGGAAATTTAAAAAAATAATTATTTTTCCACCTCATTATTCCACTTCACTTTTCTATATGATTTATCATATTAATTATTTAACAAAAATTAATTAAATTATAAAACTTAATTATTGGCAAAAAGGAAGAAATTGCAGATGGGGACTCATTCCCGAGTGACTCTTTCCTGCTTTTGAAAACCGAACCATTTACTGCTTTCTTACTGCTTTTGCTTTAAACAACAATCACTCGAATTAGTTTGCTAGATAATAAATCATCAAGGAGTAAGCAGTAGACCTAGACCCCGGGTTGATAATAGAACTTGCCTGTTACAGCATTCCCGGACTGCGATTACACTTGGTCGCAGTTTGGTGTTGTGTTTTGGCGTATCAACTTTTTGGTTCTTTGGCTCTTTTGGTTCCACTTTTTGGTTCCACTTTGGGTTGTTCTTTTGCAGGACAAGGAGGTCCTGGCATGCCCGTTTGGGCAGCACCATTGCTGGTCCAAACGGGAGTTTCGGAAATTGAACTGCTACGAGCAACTCTCCGCCGCCCTCGCCAACCCCACATGGCGTCGTCTGCTCACCATCTGCGAGAAGGTCTACTACGAGCCCGTCCTGGAGTTCTACACGACCTTCAGGCACACACAGACGACCGATTGGAAAGACGGTACAGCCATCAGATTCAGGCTAGGCGGTGCCCCCCGGTCGATGAGCTACCATGAGCTGGCCGAGGCTCTCCACCTCGACCTGGATGACGAGACGGACTACATCACCGAGGTCAACGACCCGCCGGAGGTGGACTTCATGAGGCTGTACACCCGCCTGGCTAAGCCAGGCCAGAGGAAACCCTTCTCGGCTGGGAGGACGAAGGCCACTACCCTGCTGCTTGACAACCGCCTTCTCCACCACCTGCTGGCAAAGTCTTACACCCCAGCGTCCGATAGTGCCAGCGCCATCACCAAGAGGGCCATGTACTTCATCTCTTTGATGCGCCAGTTCGACCATCCTCTCCACTTGGGATCGGTGGTGGCCAGGACCTTCGAGAAGACTGCTACAGAACTGAAGAGCCTCCACTGCTCCCCTCTCATCACCCGCCTGGCCACCTACTTTGGCCTTTCATTGCAGGGGTGCACACAGTAGGGGGACACCCTCGTCCCCTCGTCTTCGGCAGGAAGACGATCAGTCACATGCACCTGCTGCGAGAGAACCGCGGCGTTCTATGGGTCGAGGGGTTTCCAGAACCTCAGATCCCCGCGGAGACCCAGCCAGAGGTCCAGCCAGAGGGCCAGGAGGAGGAGGCTGCTGATGATGTGGAGCCCGAGGAGGTGGATGCTGCTGCTGCCCCCCGCCCCACCACCTTCGAGTACGGCGGTGGCAGCTCCGTTTTCCCGGGCCAGGATTACTTCTCCTAACAGTTCGAGCAGCTGCGGATCCAGAACCAGCAG